AGAGAGAATGATAAAAAGACAATCAGATAGACGGACAGACAGAAAAAGAGACAGAGATAGATAGATAGAGATAGACAGAAAAATAGTAAGATAAAAACAAAAAAAGACGGACAGACAGACAGATTAAAAAGAAAGAGAAAGAGAGAAAAAAATAGGCAGACAGACAGAAAAGAGAGAGAGAGAGAAAATATAGACAAACGGACAGACAGAGAAAAGGAGAGAGAAAGAGAAAATATAGACAGACGAACAGACAGAGAAAGGAAGAGAGAAAGAGAGAGAGAGAAAGAGAGAGAAAAATGGGAGACATACTGTTGGTCGAAGTAAAAAAAAAAAAAAAATAAAAAAAAAAAGAAAGAAGAAAAAATACAAAAAAATACAAAAAAAAAAAAAAAAGAGAGAAAGAAAAAATAAAAATAAAAAAGAAGAAAAGAGAAGAAAGGCAAAGTGTAAGAATCTTTCTTTGGCGAGCATTGATGTCACCGAAAAAATATTTCGTATCCGAGTATCCCGCCAAGAATCCGTGCGATCCGTGTGTTTCCTTCGATTTTCTTTCGACACGTTTAACACGTCAGGGTGGTAAGTGTCGAAAAGGGGAGAAGGTTAAAACGTGAGTAACCGACTGAGTAACAGAGAGAAAGACAGAGAGAGAAAGATAGAAAAAGAGAGAGACACACATAGAGAGATAGAGAAAAGATCGTACGGATTTACGTGGACACATTAGACACGCAGAGACTACTCTACTCCCGAAGGAATTTTTGGAGTTTCGTGCCAACGAGAAGGCAGCAAGGATTAGAGAGGTTTCGCGGTCTCTTTTTCTCTCTCTCTCTCTCTCTCTCTCTCACTCTCTCACTCTCTAACTCTCTTCAACTTTTTTCTCTCTTCTTGTACAATCAGGGTTTCTCTATATACCATCCCTATTACTATTACTACTCCTGCTACTACTCTGCTACTATTATTGTTACTACGTTAACAACAATAGTCTCTCTCGTCTCATAGAATTTTCAAAAGGAGACACCGACGACTCTCTCTCTCTCTCTCTTTCTCTATCTCACACACACACACACACAACTAACAAGTACAAAATTGTTATACCCACACAATTCGAGAGACTCCGTTCATGCCACTACCAAGAATGACAGAGAGAGAAAAACTTTGAAATAAAAACATTTTTCCTTGTACATTTTTCTACACCTCCTCCCTCTTACCCTTACTCTTACCCACACCTTCTCATCACTATGTTCTGTTCCATTCATATATACATACATACATACATATATATATATATATATATATATATATATACTTTTTTGAATTTTTTCTTTTTTCTCGTTTTGAATTCGGAGAAAAAGAACAGAAGAGTCTTCTTCTTCTTCTTCTTGCTCATTCGTAAAACGTGAATTCGAATCGAGACTTTTTTCTATTTCTATCGAGAATTTAAATTCAATATATTGGATTTGAGAGATTTTAAATTATAAAAAAAAGATACACATACACACACAGACAAAATTTAATTTAAAATAATATAATGTTGTAAATTTTAAGAATGGATTATGTGTGTATACGTGGATGTATATGTAATTTAAATTTCGATTTATATATATATATACATATATCAAAAAGAAACGGAATAAAGTTTTCGTACGGTATTTTGTTCACCGAAGAGGAGAAAGAGAGAGAGAGAGAGAAAGAGAGAGAGGGAGAGGGAGAGGGAGGGAACTTTTTATTTCCCACGGTGTTTGCTTTGTCGACCGAGTTCTGATCTCTCTCTCTCTCTCTATCTCTATCTCCCTCTCTTTCTCTTTTCCTTCATTGGCGTAGCCTTTACTTGTGTGATTCAGAGGAAACGAATAAGTTAATTCGAGTCTATTTCTATGTCTCTCTATGTATTTTTCATTTCGCTTTGAAAGAACTGTATTCATATGTATGTGTATATATATATATATATATATATATATATATATATATATGCATACATACAAACACATACTATACACATATATAGCAGTTATATATATATATATATATAATCACATATACGAGGTACTAGTTATAAGGTACACCTACTTAAACTTGCCTGCTTGCCTCCGCGCGTTTTGCTATTTTTTTCCTTTCCTCCTTTTTCTTTTTATTCTTTTATTTTTTTATTTCTTTTCCTTCTCTCTCTCTCTCTCTCTCTCTCTCTCTCTCTCTTTCTCTGTCTGTCTGTCTCTCTCTTTCTCTCTATATATGTCGAGTCTCATGTCGCAATAGATCCCGAACTAGGTACTTACTGACGCAATCGAACGAACGCGTTTATCACTACTTTATAGATCACATCGATCGATTCTAGACATATGTACATACATACATACATACACTCATGATAGCATTTATAGTTTTGGAGGACCTAGGTGCAATGACATCGTTACGAGAGAGAGAGAGAAAGAGAGAGAGAGAGAAGCCATAAAAAAACAAGTGCGTTTCTATTTTAGGTAATCGAATTCTTGCGCATTTTTTTTTC